TCTGTCAGTTTTCTCACTCCATTTGGTGCTTGGCTGAGTTCTTTATCTCTCCATTTGATGTTTTAGGGTTTCAGGATTGTTGTATTCTCTGTTCGGCTTAGTTTTTCAGATCTTTGCTGTGGAGGGACGGCGTGGTGCTTCTGCCTAGAGCGCCATTTTGCAAGAACTCCCAAGAACATTTTTTAAAAACTGCTATTAATGATCATTACTGTCATGGATTGAATTATGTCCCCCAAAATATGTGTCACCTTGGTTAGGCCATGATTCTCAGTAATTAGTTATTGTCCTCCATTTTGTGATATGATGTAATTATCCTCCATTTTGTGGTGTGTTGTAAATCTTAACCTCTACGTGTTAATGAGGTAGGATTAGTGTGGAGTGTATATTGAGTAACAGCTTTACATGAGGGTGTGACTTACCCAAGTCACACCCTTACCTGAGTCACACCTTTTATTTTACAAGAGATGAAAGGAGAAGTGAGGAGAGAGAGGAGGGACCTCCCTACCAACAAGGAAGAAGAGCTGGGAACGGAGCTCATTCTTTGGACCCAGGGCCCCTGCGCTGAGAGCTTACTAAACCCAGGAGAAGATTGATGCCATGACACATGGAGATCTCCAAGGAACACTGAGCCCACATATGCTGAAAGGAAACAAGGACCTTTCCCCCAGAGCTGACACAGAGGGAGAGCCTTCTCCTAGAACTGGCACCCTGAAATAAATTTTTGTTTGTTAAAGCCACCCACTTGTGCTATTTCTGTTATAGCAGCACTAGATAACTAAGACAGCTACCAATTTTCAGAAGAAAGGGATTTTTACACTAAGAAAGCAGGAAGTACATAATCTTAGAAATGAAGAAGTCTTCCTGCACCCCTCCTCCAAAAAAAAAAGACTTCTGGCAACCTTACATGATTATTTTTGTTGCAGATAGATGTAAATTTCAATTGGCTAATTCCTGTGTGGAGTTCAGTATTTGGGACCTTCAGCAGCTTTGCGGGAGAAAAGACCTGGCAATCTGCTCCAGTTAAGATTACAGCCTAGGAAACCCTATGGGGCAGTTCTACTCTGCCCTATAGGGTTGCTATGAGTTGGAATCAACTCAGTGGCACACAACAACAACACCGATTATTTTTCACTCCCCTACACATGTATATAAAGAGCCACTTATATGTGTGTGCTTGTGTTTTTGGACACACATATATGCCTGTGAAATGGGGCCTAATCTACCCATTTTACAGATGGAGAAACAGAGGTTCAGAGCGGGCAAGAGACAGTAAGTGATAGAGCCTGTCTGAGTTCTACCCCAGATCTTCTTGACAGTTAAGCCAAAAAAGTGCAGGAAAAGAAATGACCCAAACCGGTTCCCTTGGGGTGCCCCCTATGTGTGACTGGGTATTACTGGGCCTAACCATGAGTCTTGACTTCGATGCTTTGTTCTTTAACACATCTTTATGGTGTGTCCATTACACCAGGCATTAGGTTGGGCTCTGGGGATTGCGTAGGGAAGGAAATCAACACTTTCCCATCCCCCTGGTACTTATTCTGGGTATGTTCCCCAGACCCTGCTCCTTACGCTGGCGGCCAACAAATCCCCAACTCAGGCGTAGGCTGATAACACGTTAGGGGGTTCCCTCTCCCAGGGGTGTTGGCAGTTTCCTAGGAGACTCTGGAAACCTTCAACGCCTCCAAGACCCAAAAGATTGGAAGTGTAATGGTTGAACTTCAGGCACTGTGACAGGTTATAGAGGAGGTAATTTCAAACCCTGTTCGAACCCAGTTCAAACGCTGTCAAATATCACGCCGTCAGCCCCTTCCGCGTTTTCATAGGCTTTGCGGGGACCCGCAGTCCCACAGGTCAGGCTGGAACAAGGGAGTTCCCCAAATCAGTAGGCCCTGCTGTGGAGGGGTTTTGCTGCTCTGGCTGGGCGACCCCAAGGACGGTGCCAGCCCCTCTCCCGGACTGTAGAGCTCGGAGTGCCCCTCCCCCGCTCCGCCCCGCCCCGCCCCGCCAGCTTGCGGCGGGAGCGCGCCTCCGCCGGCCGGGCTGGTGCACAACAGCGCGCGCCTCGGCGCGGGAGCGCGCCCGGGGAGAACCCGAGCAAGATGGAGGCCGCACCGAGACCGCCGCCTGGGCCCAGGCAGCTGCTACTGGGAGCGCCAAGCCGCGGCGCCTAGGCGGTGCCAGCCCCGGGCCCTCTTCCCCTGACCCGGCCCACGTTGGTCTCCCCGCACCCCATTCCCGTGGCTGCAGCCTCTGGTGAGTCCGGCCTGGGCGCGGGGCAGCCGCCCCCCCATCCCTGGCCCTACCTGGGCCCGGCCGCTCCCGGCGCCCGGGAACGGCCCCTGCCCACCTCCTGCCCGTCGTGGCCTAGGCTGCCCTCCAGCCCTGCTCCCTTGTCCCCTTGGCCTGGAAAGCCCCTCTACCCAGCCCCGACCCGCCAAGCCTAGGCTCCCCAAGCCTACATCCAGCCCTGGTTTAGAGGAGCTCCCCCCACCCCGTGTCCAGACCCTGCGGTCCCAGTCCCCAACTCCCCTCTAGCTTCATCCTAATTCTGCCACGTCGCCCTCTTAGACCCTCATACCAGCCCCCAGTTCCTGTCCTAGCCTTCATATCACCTTCCTAGTCCCCCAGTACTAACCTCTATATCCCCTTCTGACCCCTCATAGAAGCGCCCACCTCTCTCTCCATAGCCCCTTTTTAGACACCCAATACCAGACCTCCTTCTTCTCCTAATCCCAGCCCCCAAATTCCCTTCCCAGCTCCCTATATACAGCCCCTCTGCTAATCCTCCAATATCGGCTCCCAACCTCCATTCCATTCCCCCATGACCCCTTCCTACTCCCTCAATGCCAGCCCCTAAGCCCCCTCCCCAACTCCTCCATGACCTCTTTCTAGCCTGTTTCCCATTCCAGCTCTTGTAACCTCCTCATCCCAGCCCCCCAACTTTCACATGGCCCTTTCCTTGGCCTTCCAAAGGAGATCTTTGCCATTCCTCTCAGACACAGCCCCAACACTCTCATGACCCGCTTCTAGCCCCCGCCCCCCAGCTCTGCCCCAGGTCCGACCCTCACGAGTTCCTTGGCTCAGGTCCGCCTCTCGCGTGTGTCCCCAGCTCCCCGCGACCGCAGCCCGGCGGTCCGTCCCGGGCCGGCGGCCCCCGCCAGCCGCCGCCGCCGGCCCCGCCCCCAGGCACCATGCTGCCCTCGCAGGAGGCCTCCAAGCTCTACCACGAGCACTACATGCGGAACTCGCGGGCCATCGGCGTGCTGTGGGCCATCTTCACCATCTGCTTCGCCATCATCAACGTGGTGGTCTTCATCCAGCCCTACTGGGTTGGCGATAGCGTGAGCACCCCCAAGCCCGGCTACTTCGGCCTCTTCCACTACTGCGTGGGCAGCGGGCTAGCTGGCCGCGAGCTCACTTGCCGCGGCTCCTTCACCGACTTCAGCACCATTCCGTCCGGCGCCTTTAAGGCAGCCGCCTTCTTCGTGCTGCTCTCCATGGTGCTGATCCTCGGCTGCATCACCTGCTTTGCGCTTTTCTTCTTCTGCAACACGGCCACGGTCTACAAGATCTGCGCCTGGATGCAGCTCTTGGCAGGTAGGGGGATGGGTGGGGGCGGGACCCCCAGACAAGGCTCCGGGGACGGGGGCTTCTTCCTGCCAGGTCCCTTTCTTGGAAGAGTCAGAGATAGGTTCTGCTTCTCTAAGACACTCATCTGCGTGGCTGACCCTGGGAGAGGGACTTCAATGAGAGACAACTTGGGGCAGGGGGCAAAGCCTTAGAACTAGGTCTTTGGGTCTGTGTTCCAGGATATGGTCAGATTGCGTTTATTAGTGGGTTAGCATTATGTTAGCATCTCTGAAAGTCTCTGTTTATTGTGCTGTCTTAGGGGAGATATTGGTCTGAGTGAGGAGTTACTCTAGGGGTGATCAGTTCCTGCTACATTATAAAGAGAATGAGATGGGGAGTCAAGAGATCTGACTTTAACCTTTCACTTGCTGGCATTATCAACTTGGGCATCTCACTTCACTTCTCTGAGTCTCAGCTTCCGCATGTGTAAAACAGTTGAAAAGATTCCAAGAGGACAAGTAAAAGAGTATCTTGTAAACTGTAAAGTGCTGTGATATGATAAGGGAAGAGGAGGATGTCTACAGTGTGCAGCCAATGTCTGAGAGGCAGGTGAAGACAGAACCTGGCAACATGGGTCTCTGGAGGGCAGGTCTCCACACCCCCCTTCCCCATACTCAGTGCAGGAAGGGTTTTGGTGCCATGCCCAATGGGATGGAGTCCCTGGGACCCTCTGAAATGTTTAGCTAATACAGTAATCTTGACCTATGAACCAGAGAAAGGCCTTTGGGGATGAGAAATGCTGAGACAGTTTTCCAGGATCCATTAGAGTCCTCCACCCCCAGAAACCTTTCAATCAAAGACATATTTTTAAGACTCAGCAACTTGGACATTTGCCTAATTGCAGGCAAGGATGAGAGTCGGGCTGGGGAAAGTGGGGGCTGGGGATGACGGGTGGAGGAGGAGAACTGGTGAAGGCTAGAAAAAAGTTTGGGGCCTTCTGAGGATTAGAAAGAGGAGGAAAAATGTGATGCTCATGCAGTAGAGGGGATTTATAAAATAAGCACTTCAGGACAGATATTCAACAAGTGTCAGCACCCTCAAAAGAGACCCCTTGGGGGAGGTGTAATATCACTTACTGATGATTCCATTGCTCAAAACATTGTAGGGAATTGTCTTCAGAGCATGGGGTGTATTCTCTTGAGCATCTTCACTGAGGGAAAACCTCCATCTTTTAAAGGAGGAATATGATTTTTGGAAATGGCTTGAAGTCACTCAGGGCCAAGTGGAGAATAAGGTGGGTGATCAAATTGAGGATTGTCATTTGTGAAAGCCAAGGTATAATGGTAGAGACAGGAGACGGGTTTGTTCCCCAAGAGAGCTTTTAAAAATGCAAAGAGGAATTGCTGCCCTATTGGAAAAATTTCCCAAGCTCCCAAAAGGACTACTTTGAAAAGGAAAATGCTTATTCAGATGTGCACATTCTAATGGGCTTGTTTCAAATCCATCTCATCCCCCTCAACTTAGATATGGGTCTTTTAGAATCTTTGAAGAGAGTGTGAAAGGAGAATTGTAAGATATTTGTGTGTGGCGGGGGGAATTTCTCCATATTCCTCAGTGGTACCCAGTGAGGTGGATTTTAGGTATTTCCATTCTATTCTTCTTCCAAAGGCAAACTGGAAAGAATATAAGCTCAGCTGGAACCTCCAGTTCCTCAGCTTTAATTTGAATCTGCAGATAGGATGCTGACTTCTTAATCCTCAAATTATCGGTAACTCATGTGGGTTTAATACTGGCGATTTGATGAACTGTCCAACAACCCCATGTAATCACAGAATTTCAGAGATCTTAGAGATGATCTCCTTCAAACCCTGTCCCCACTCACACACATACATTTTAGAAAGAGGAAACTAAGCCTAGAGAAGTGAAGGGTTTGCCCAAAGTCATGCAGCTAGTAAGGGCATCAACTAGAACTAAGGCCTGGCTTTCTTGACTCCTGGCCCAGTGTTCTTTCCCTGGTGTTACTGCTTCAGGGACTAGGAGGACAGTTGGTAGAGTTGAGCAGTTTGTTCCATTTTTCTCAGAGGCTTGTGAACTCTCTGGGTAAGTGACTGATTCATTTTGCATAATAAAGTGATACAAGGCCAGAGCACTGGACCAGGAGTCATGGGATGGGGGATCTTGGCAGACTCTGCCTGTGACTCACCATGCAGTGGTAAGCAAGTCTTTTTAGCTTAAATCTCAGTTTTCATATCTGTACAATGGGTTGATTTAAAGTATCTCTTTCAGTCCTGTAGGCCTCCTATGACAACTCTTTCAGCAAGGTAATTCTCTTGAGAAAGTGAGACATCAGTCATCCTCAGAGGAACTGCAGAGAAGCAAAGGGCCTGGTTTGTGTCAGATAAGAATTAGAATGCTTATTTTAGGACTCTTGTTCCAGTGAACTTTAATTCAAGTATTTTAGGGTCTTCTAAATGCAGAGTACTGGTCCACTGGGAAAATACAAGGAGGCATTTATTCCTTTGTTTACTCCTCACTTGCTCTGTGATCATCCCTATGCTATGTGCTGCAGTACTGACATGCCTAAGATACCATCTCTGTCCCCAAGGAGCTCAGGTCTATAAAATGCAGCCTCTGTTCTCAGGAAGATTACCATCTAGTTGGGTCACTGTATTGGTCAGCGTCTATCAATAACAAATGACAGAAACCCAACTCAAATTGGCTTAAGTATATTAAAATAAAATAAAGAGGGTCGGGTTTATTGACTCACATAATTTAAAAGCCAAGAGTATTTGGCTTCAGAAATGGATGGATCCAGGTACTCAAATCAAGCCATTAAAAATCTGTCTCTCTCCATTTCTTGGTTCCTCTGTGTTGGCTTCGTTTGAAGTCCACTTCTTTCTCTAAGGTGACAGATACGGCCTCTGGTAGCTCTGAATTTACATTGCCTCAGCCTTTGGAAGAAAACACCTGTTTCCCTGTGGTTCCAGCAAAAGTTCCAAGGCCAATTCTCTTGGTTTAGCTTTGGTTCAGAGTCCACCTCTGAATTAATCATACTGACTTTGTCTAAGGCTTGGGTCACATGCCCATCCCTGGAACACATGGATGAATAGTGGAGAAAGGTCAACTCCCACAAAGAGAAATCAAGTGTGACCCCTGGAAGAAGCGGGGGATGTAGTTAGGCAAATGCAGACAGAAGATTCCCCCTGGGCAATCTGAACACTAATGTGTGCTGCACTGTACGTGCTGTGGAAACCCAGAGCAATGGAGGGGGCTGCTGGTTTAGTTGGGAGCTGAGGCTTGAGCTGGGCAGGGCGTTGACAGAGATGAGGTATGGGAGAGCATTCTGAATGGAGAAGGAGATTATGGGTGCAAACACAGAGGTGAGAAATCTACATCTGGCTTGTGTGTGGCATCCACCTAGGGAAGCAGCAGGAGGAGAGGCCAGGAAGGAATAATAGGCCACAGTGTGCAAGGCTCTGAATGCCAGGTCAAGGGACTTGGACTTGTAATCAGCAGGCAGGTGGAAGCTACTACTACTGTTACTATTATTCAAGAAAAATAGTTAACATTTCTGTACTATGTACTAGAACATATGCTAAGCATTTTACATGCATAATATTATTTAATCCTCACAATAATTCTGTGTGGTGGTACTATTATTATTATTTTATAGATGAGAAAACTGAGTCTCAAAGAGGATAAGTCATTTGTCCAAGGCCACTTTCTACCTGTACATGGTGGAGTTAGGATTTTCACTTGATCTCTCTGACTCTAAAGCCCAAGCTTTTGGTTAGAGGACAATTAATGGTGGACATAGTGGCAGGATGGGTTTGCCAGAAGAGTTGAATAAGTAGAGAGACTGGAAGACCCAAGTGGCTCTTTAAGGAATGAGGAGTTAGCTTTTCTGGGCTTCTCAAGATATCTCTGCTACTTTTTACCTGGTGTTTTCCATTTACTGAGCACATACAACATACCAGGTTCTATGCTAAACATTTTCAGTCATTATGTCATTTAATCTTTATCTGTTAAAAGATATACAGGTATTATCCCCATTTTACAGGTGAGGAAAGTGAGGCTCAGAGAGACCATGTGACCTGGCTAAGGTCACCTAGTTGGTAAGTGGTAGGGGAAGAAGAGACAAGTTTATGGTCAAGGAGTGAGACTTGAGCCCAGACCCCTCCTATTTCCACAGAGGGAAGATGATTCTGACCACAATTCACTCACTACTGAGTGCCTGCTATGTGCTAGGCACTGCGCTGGTGCTGAGGGCACAGCAGAAAACAGAGGGTGTAAGATGGAGTGGGAGCTGGAGGAGACTTGGGTGGGGGTGGCACAGGGGGCTGGCTGGTGTGGTCCAGAGGTGAGCATCTTCCGGCCTTCGGATGTGTGTCCATGGTCACCTGGGGTCTCTGGGCTAGGAGCAGCAATCACAGCAGCCCTCTGTCAGTGCAGCTGAGAATATATATCTATACTCCTCTCCATTTCCTTGGGTTTTGTTTCAGATTGGATTTGGGATTTTATTCATCTGGTGTTTGTTGTTTGTGGATGACACTGCTTAGCTCAGTAGGGCATTTCTTTCCTCCCTTCTTCTTTCCCTCCTTCCCTCCCTCTCTCTGCCCCCCCCCCTTTCTTTCTCACATCAATCCGTTACCGAAGGCCTCCTATGTATGTCAGGCATTGTGCTAAGCTCTGGGAATTCTGAGTAACAGTTCTTGCCTCCAGGGAACTCATGGTCTAATGGGAGAGGCCAGAAAGAAAACAGATCATCACTATATAATATGGCACATGAAATAATGGAATCATGTACAGGGTATTCTGGGGGAACCAAGGGGACTTCTAACCCAGGCAAGGACAGCCATGGAAGTCTTCAGCATTAGAGCTGAGTCTTAAAGGAAGAGTAGGAGCCCTGGTCGCACAATGGTTAAGCACTTGGCTGCTAACCAAAAAGTTATTGATTCCAACCCACCCAGCTGCTCCACAGGAAAAAGACCTGGTGGTTTGCTCCTGTAAAGATTTAAAGCAACAAC